ACAGCAAAAAAATTAACTGTCCTTTATAAATATAAAGCAGAATAAAACAGGAATACAATTGGAATAATCCAAAAGAAAGTAAGTATAAAGTATAAACTAAAACAAAGTTGGACAACTCCCTCCAGATATTATTGACTCTAGTTTCCATCAGCTGCAGTGAGTAGGCCAGTAGTGAGAGATCAGAGAAAATGCAACAGCATCTGAAAGACCACACAATTGTTTATTTCAGAACTAAAGAAAGGAAAGGAAGTTTTCAGCTCTTATCCTCAATGAGGTGATTGACCTAATGTGTATTACCAAGATCTGAATCCCAGAGGAAGAGGTTCTTCTCTCAGAGATAGAGATATGACTCTCTGCAGTGGTCAATATTTCTTAGTGTGAGGAAGTGATACAATCTGCCCTGAAAGATTCAGCATTTTACTCCTTTCTAAAAAAAACCCCAACAGTTCTGGACAACCTTCTCTTTCTTGGGAAAGTTATTACGAAGATGATTGTCTTATAACTTTAAAGAGCCCTGGATGAAATGGATACTCTAAATCCTTTCTGACTGAGTTTTAAACCAGGACATAGCATGTAGACATCATTGGCTATGTTTGTGAAGAATCTAGATAGGGGTGGCCAGATTTTCCTAGTTCTTGATCTCTCTGCAGTTTTCATGATGGGGGGAGGTGAGGTTTTATGGGTTTTACATTGTAATGGCTTTTAATGTTGTAAGCTGACAAGAGTTTATGTATGTGAATTGGATGGCCATATAAACTTAATAAATAAATAAATAACTTTCTGGGCTAACCATGGGATTAGGAGTGGGAAACATGATGTTACATGATATTCCTTTTCTTTCAAATTGGTTCCAGTCAGTGGTTGGGGTGGAGGGAGTTGAGCCTTTGATCAATTAATTATGGAGGGCTTTGGAGCTCAACATTCTCATCCCTCTCATTTAATATCTGCATAAAAGCACTGAGTGCAGTCATCTGCTGGTATGGGGCCCAAAACTATCAGTAGGCTGATGATACTAGATTGTACATCTCAACCCTGAGCTGGCCAAGCAATGCTATCAAGATTGAGATGGAGTGATTGGCTCTTCCAGTATCAGGGACCTGTTATCTTTATTTCTGGATGCGTTGCACTTCCCCAAATGGAAGAGGTGTAAACTTTGGGGGTCCCTCCTAGAGCATGTAGCAGATGTAGCTAGGAGGTCCTGTGCCTTGATTTATCTGGTGCATCACTTTTCTGGGCCAGGAAATCCTTCTTGCAATCGCCCATTCCCCAAAATGGAGATACTGCAAAGTGGAATAACATGAAGAAAAATAGGTATTTTTTAGTTTATTTAAATTAAGTTCAGAACAAAAGTACTGAACTATGGAATAATATACTTCAAGATGAACTGTAGATGTAAACAAATCTCTAATTCTAGAATTCAATTTTTATTTGGGGCAGGGAGATAACTATCTGTTCTACCCAAGTCATTTCAAGGTTTTAGAATCAGGGAAGTGTTTAATTCTATTGACTCAGGTGGATATTTCCTATCAGTGAGTGCTCTCTTCACACAGATGATCAAAGCAAATCTTTCTGAAGGCCTTTGTACCCAGATCCCCATCCTTTATGTTGACTGAGCTAGTCAAACTTACACATAGGTGTGAAGACCTACATAATAGATATGTAGACATATGAGCTTTTCTTATAGCTATAAGATTTCTTAGGAATTAACAATTTGGAGCTTTATACATGCTAATTTAAATGTACATGTTTTATCTACTGCTGAATTTCTTTTTTAAAAAATGTGAAAATATATATACACACACACACATAGGAATTTTGCATCATTTATTGCTGGTGCTTTACATAAGTGTGCCTTTGGGCATTCTGCTGCAAGATAAATGTCCAACTGCTTCTATCATATTGTTTATTTATCCCATGCACATGATACATAGGATTAGTTTATTTTATCTGCAAAATAACTCTGGCAAAAGTTAAATGAGAATCAGTAAGCACAACTAACTACACCATAGATTTTGTGGTTGAGACGCAATTTCTTTCTTTTCTGCTAGTTGATAATTATTGGAATTATAGTTGAACACATGTGGAAGGCACTAGATTCTTTTGTTCAGATGTTTGTGTCTATAGGTGGAAAGCAAAATTGTCAACATTCTAATACAGGTAGTCCTCGATTTACAATCACAATTGACTCCAAAATTTCTGTTGCTAAGTGAAACATTTAAGTGAATTTTGCCCCATTTTATGACCTTTCTTGCCATAGTTGTTTCAGTGGTTAAGTTAGTAATATGGTTTTTAAGTGAATTTAGCTTTTCCTTTGACTTTGCTTGTCAGAAAAAAGTTGCAAAAGATGATCTCATGACCCGGGACACTACAACCGTCATAAATGTGAGTTAGTTGCCAAGCGTCTAAATTTTGATCATGTGATCATGGGGACGCTGCAATGGCTGTAGGTGTGAAAAACGGTCATAAGTCACTTGTTTCAGTGCCCTTGTAACTTCGAACAGTCACTAAACGAACTGTTGTAAGTTGAGGACTACCTGTAATGGTCCTGCTTCCTCCATAGTTATATCCTCCACATATTGATTGAAATGAGTCAGTGATACTCCTTTTTATATAGTATATCCAAGACTATCCTACAAATAGAACTCTACTTACATCTTTCATGGGGAAAGGGACAAATATATACATACATGCACAAAGCACAGTAGAATTTACAAATATTTCTTTGTCTTCTTTCACTTTTGTATTTCTAATTGGCCATTTCATTTATACTGATTTTGAAAATTAACAGCCCACAAGATCAATTTCTTGTATATCATCATAAATGAGTTTTTATTTTTCAGGAATGTAGTACCCTTGGGTGAAAATGTGGCCATATTTAGAAGCACACATGTTCCTTTATAAAATAACCATTTCATGTCAATACATAAACAGATTTATGGTTATGCTAAATTGAGGAATGTATATAAACCAGCTATATATTTAAACAACACAGCTATTTTATAATTTTTCTCCAACATACTGTGATCTTGTTGTAAAGTAAAACCATACATAAATATATAACCTTGAGCCAAACTGAAAGCTAGACATATGTTAACTTTTCCTGAAGTTACACAGAGGTTTCTTTACGTTTTAAAGTAGCCTTCGGTTTGTGCCCACTAATTGCATGGAGAAAGTTGGCTGAATGAATTGCCACCTTAACAAAACACTATATCTTTTACCAACCTTGTCAACGGTACTCAGAAGACATGGTAATTGTGCTGCTGGAGTGTTAAAAATGTTACAGCTGTGCTTTAGCAACTGTATTAGCCTGTTAGTTAGTTATAGCAGGAAGAGAGTTGGTAAAGCAAATGATTATCATTGAGATTTTACAGGTTTTCTTATAATTCTTTTGTAGGAATTGCAGGAGCAACTGTTTTACACATCAGTGCCTTGAATCTGGCATTTTCTACTCTAAGAATAATGTTAATGTCCCGTTTTCATTAATTTTTATTTTGCATCCTGAAAGTCAAAGTCAAAGTATACCACTTACATTTGTAATGAGCAGGTAACAAGAATTATTCATTTTCTTCAATGAATTTTCTTTTTGCATCTACAGATACAATTTATTCTTTTCTCATCTACAGATACAATAACATTTCTAGAAACCTGAGCAAGAATTCTGCGATCCAAGCTTAAACCTAACTCAATTTTATCTGAGGAAGGATAACAATTGCTGTTATGTCCTTGCTTCCCAATTGCTCTTGTTCTAACCTACAACTCTCCAGAATAGTAGACAGGGTTAATGAGGGCTGATTCAAACTTTTGTTTAATAGTAGATCCAACCTCTAGCTAGGAAAAATGTAAATATGAACCAGAAGGCAGGTAGATCCATTATACATTTCCAGATAGTTCAATAATGAAAACACCAGATAAAATCATAGAAACCTTTGTCTATGTGTGTGTGTTTATAAAACAGCTGAACATATGTGAGCATCCTGTGACTATTCATGTACAGTAGAAAATAAGCTAGCCCTGAGATGAAAGAAGGCATTTCAGTTTTTTCTCTTGGATAAGGGAAATTATAGGCTTTGATAAATCAACACCAGACTGGATCTTATACTTTGATCTTTTATTGTAACATCCATTAATTTCAGTATAATGCTTAAACATACAGGATAATCAGACTGGTGCACTGTACAGTAAATGTTGCCTGTTTTGTAATAAAAATATGAGAAGAATGATTTACCTAAAATCATTAATTGGAGCCTTGCAGGAATACCTCAAAAAGTCACCCACTTCCTAACTGAGTAACACATGTAGCATTGACTCAAGATTTCAGTTATTTGTGCCAAACTGTTAAGTGAAAAATCAATAGTATTTTGATTTGTGGGCATTGTTTTAATTATGCTATTGTCAGAAGGTCTCTATGATTCTGGTAAAATGTACAAAAAAAAGGATGGTGTTGTTTTGATTCAGTTTAGACATATCTGAAGGATTTTCTAACATGTCAAAATAAGGACAAGAATTACTCTTATTTCCATAATGATTTTTCCAAACAAAAGACTAATTCAGCATACAGGTGGTATTTTCAACAACATCCCATAGTTTGGAGTAATTCAATTGCTTCACCTTGGAAACACTTTACACTGTAAATAGAATTAAGGCCATCAACTAGCGACAAAGGATCACTCGTAAAAATTACTAGAGTGACATGAATATATATACGGTGGCCATCAACAAATGATAGGAGCCTCAATTCAACAGCCACTCTATCTTGAATAAAGGACTGTGTCCCAGAGAATGTTGCTTTCATACTGTTGTGCATTTGAAAGCATTTCTTCCCAATTAAATTAGGAAAAAAATGATACCTTGTGTTATTCCCTACCCAACAAATAATTCTATGTAAAATTTCAGCATGTAATGTTATCTATGTTACCATACCCTTCCATCAAGTCTTCAAGTGTGCTTTCTTTAGAAGGGTATTTGATAATTTAAAATAATCCAAAGCAGAACTTTTAGTCTTACCTGGCAAAAAAGGAAGCGGCCACTGAGGTACCAGTGGAGGCATCACTAGCAACACAGGTGCTCTGGGAACTGGGGAAGCTATACAAGGAAGGTTTATCTGCATTGTAATGGTTCAGCACGGCTTCTGTCAGTCCATCGCGGCCAGACTCAGTGATCAATTGGGAAATCTAAAAACAAAGCAAAGTTATTTCTTTTATTTTGTTTTATTTAAATTTATTGGCTGTCCCACACCAATGGACTCTTATAATATATAAGAATGTATTATATTCACCACTATGCTATGCAGGGTATATGTGTATTTGGCTAAAAATAGTGCATATCCTTCAACATCATATCATAATCTTTAAATTCATTTACATCTTTTATAATCCCATTGTGAAATACTTTGCTGGAACTTCACCCCATTTTTATTGAACGTTATGAGCTAAAATAACCTTCTGATCCTGTTAAGTTTTCATTACGGCACTGGTGTTCCTTCAGTTTGAAGGAGAAAGTACTCTAAAGCATTATCTTTGCGCCATTGGAGCAATTTGAGGACCTTGAAGATATTCGTCAAAGCCAATTTATTAAAAGAAACTTCTACAAATGTTTGTGAATGCTGCAGCACAACTTCACTTAATTCAGGTTGAAACTGCAAGCTTGACGACTACAAGAAACACTGAGCTTCAAAATTTTATGATTACATACAAGGTTAAGATGTTAGTGTCTATTTGTCATATTCTGATTTATGGAACATTAAATATTAAAAGTAGGAAATGTACAGATCAAAGAGTACAGTCAAAGTAGGAATTTTTATTCTGCTAGTGTGCTGCTCATAACACAAATCCTTTTTTTTCTCTTTTCTCCCATTTACTCCTGGTCACCCCAGCCTGCAATGGCTAACAATAAGATCAATCTAAAACAAGACTGCACTAAAATCATAATTTCTAAAATGCACTAAAACATCATTGAAATTTACAATTAAAAGTAAACAAACAGCAGCAACCTTTATAGTTACAACTATAAAATGACAAACTTAAAAACACAGATACTGTACTTAAGGTGGAATGCAGACCTGAGTATAAAAAGAGGTTTTTAACATTTTCTTACATTTCCTGAGGAGGGAAGATATTAAATGACCTTGTTACCATCTGTTACATTTGCAATTTTTTTTGCCTCCACATTTTTCCTAATGTGAAGCAAACTGGTCTACATATTTATCTTGATATCATAAGTAGCCTATTCTATTGAAATTCAATGTTATATGAATGATATCCTGCACATCAAAAAGTACAATTTTCATGGAAGCATTTTATTCTTGGTTATTTGAGTAGGTATTTTAATATACCCATATTTTCTAGTCTAAGATTAAACTTCATCTCTTAGATTATTCCTCTAGGTTCTTTAAGAAAAAAATTGGCTGTCTGCAAGCTTTAATATTGACAGAAGATCACAACCTAACAAAATAGTATATACAGCAGATGAAAACTTGTCATCTATTTATGGGTAGATTGTGCTTTTTATCACACCATTATTTTGGGAAGTGCAGAATACCCATAACTGGCATCCCCCATTTTAACTTGTTCAGCTATTTCTTTGACATTTACTTAGTAATTTGGTCCTACGCATTTAATGGAAAAATACTCACTTGGATTTTAACTGATTTTATTTCTAAATAAACAGCACTAGCACCACTGCTATTTAATTACCATCTTCTGACTGCTTCCAGGATCCACAATCTTCTTGACTGTGAAATCCAATTCTGTTGTATTTTACATGAACAGTATTTGCATTAAGTCTAAACAATTGGTGCTTCTGAAAGTCAATCAGCAGATACCAGCCCACTATAGTCTGGTGAAATCTCCAGCCCCCCTCTCTCTCTCACACACACACACCACACAAACAAACAATAAATATTGGATATGGGTCATCAAACATAAGACAAAGCAAAATAGTTGGGGATTGGGTGGGATTCAGCTTGACAAAATATAAATTATGCAAACTAATTTTCATGCTAGTCTGCTATAATAAACTATGTAGACGGAAAAATAATCACATTCTCTAAGGAAGAAAAGGTGATTTCTAGAAATGACTGGGGATAGCACTTTCCTAAGCTAATTCAAGCTGGACAGAAGCCATTATTAAATAACAAATCATTACACATAAAGTTCAAGAATTGATATATCTTCCAACTGAACAAAGGAGAGATAAGTGAAGCTGCAAATGAGCTAGCCCAGCACTACAGCAAACTGCAGTATCACATGACATGATCTCAACAGCCTTTTTCTTCTTGTGTCCATCCATCAAGTCATATTTCTTTCCACCATTGTGCACATACTACAATGCTCATGAGGTGACCTCAGTGAGATCTTGCAGTGTGAAACTGCCTGCCCCTAAGAAATGACAAAGTGGGGAATGATGTAGAATCTGCTTCTTCCACAATCACAGGTCTGATCCAATGAAACACCCCCATTTGACCATGTAGACTTTTGATTGCTGACCCGGGTACAAAGAGAATTAAGGGTCTTCCAAGACCCTGGCTCTAGGAAGAAGACTCTTTTGAATTAATGCCTACATCATTCTCCAGGAGATTTATTAGTCATTTGTCATAATTTATATCAGATGTCAGTCTGATATTTAATATTTTTTATTGCCATAAGAAAGTTTTTGTGTGATTTTTAAACATTTCCACACAAAGATTCTACTATACACAAATTCTAACCAGAGTGATCATTCCAGATGAAATAAATAGTTTATTTCAGTGGACAATTATAACACCCTGTGATAATTCAGCAGTTGTTTTTCTAATAATGGGTCAATTTTTTTTGAATGGAAAAAAATCAATCATACATATTACCAAGTAACAGAGGACTAAGATAGAGCTTTTGATGGTCGCTGATCAGATCTTCAGTGGCAATTTGTAAATTATTTTACAGGTAGTCCTTGCTTACCAATTGCTCATTCAGCAGCTGTATCAAATTATGACCATGCTTAAAAAGGGAGATTAATAAGCAGTCCTCAAACTTGGGGCCATCACAGCATCTCTGCACTCATATGATTGTGGTTTGGGTGCTTAGCATCCAGCACATGTTTATGATGGTCAGAGCATCCCATGGTCATGCGACCTCCATTTGCAAGCTTCCCAGCCAACTTCTGACAAGCAAAGTCAATGGGGAAGTCGGTAAAAAGTTGTAGTCATGTGACATCATGCGTAACCAGAGAGCCCTGGTGCCGCAGTGGTTAAAGTGCAGTATTGCAAGTGAAACTCTGCCCGCAGCCTGGAGTTCGATCCTGACAGAACTCAAGGGTGACTCACCTTCCATCCTTCCAAAGTCAGTAAAATTAAGACTCAGATTGTTGGGGACAACATGCTAATAATGCTTCTATATTGTAAACCACCTAGAGAGTGCTGTAAAGCATTATGTGGTGATATATAAGTCTAAATGCTATTGCTATTGTTATTAATGATTGTGGATGATTTGCCTAACAACTACAATCTGAACTGACTAACTGAAGTCATAAGTCAATTGCAGTCAATAACTGAGGTCTCCCTGTATTCGATATTTATTAGGATTTTAATAATGGACTATAGTTTTAATTGTATTTTTCTCTTAATATAACACAATTGGAGAAAACATTTATATTACAATTATGCATGCTTATAAAGTGAATACTGATGGATCCCTATTAGTTCAGAACTAGCTTTGACCTTCCATCTCAAGATTTCAGAAGAGAAAAAAATTAAAACTAAGAATTTCAGCCACTTTCATCACAGCTATGCTATCTGGCTGGATATGACAGCTTCACAATAGGGGGGGAGTCTTAAATTAATTGGCATATCTGAAAAACAAAAAGACAAAAAAAAGTGTCTAAGGAACATAGTAAATTGGCGAACTCCCTCCACCCATAAATTTCTCCAAATAAGTTTGAAACTACTTCTATACCTAAGTTTTATTTTAAACCAACAGAATATATGCCTGTAATCTTCCAACACATCAAGAAAATTATAATAGTAATAATATAACACATACACAGCACGGACTTTTCATAAAGAATTGCTGCTTCTTTTTCTGAAAATGCCTAATTCAAAAGGAAAAATCTGATAAATACAGTAGTTGCCCCTTCCCTTACCCATATGTTTCATCAGAAAGTTAATTCTTTTGTGGGCAGAAATTAACGATAGGTTAATGGGGTAAATTCTGAGTGGGTCCTTTGTCAACATAGTGGTAAAATATCATTGCCTAGTCCAGCAACAATAGTCAATGCAATCTTTATGCTCTATACAAATAATTCTTTTTGAATTTATATTCTTTGTTCTGAGCCATAAAGTTAAAAAACCATGTAGCCCTTCTTTCTTCCTCAAGAATAGCAGCCATTGAAAATGCGCCTCTTTTAAGATTAATGAGATGCAGTGAGAATTTGCTAACATACTACTAGAAGTATGTACCAAAGTGTTGTACAGGGAAAAATATTTTTAAAAAATTAATGTTATTTGTTTCCCAAATTCATCTAATATGCTATAAGTAGCTCAGCTTAATTTGAAATGGTTTTCTATTGAACGGAAGCTTGGAACTCACAAAGAGAAGCATCTCAATGAGGAACATTTAATAAAGCAGTCTAAAAACTTTAACAATTAAAATTCTGCCTCCCAGGCCTTTAACAAATTATCATATTGATCACATGCTAGTACTTTTAGATGCAAGCGCTTCTAGATTATTATTATGTTGGCCGCATTGTCAGCCAGATGTTTAGATTAGAAGTAGCATTTTTGTTCACCAGAGTCCTTCCAAAGACCTGGGACAGGCAGATGTTGTTAATAATATTAAAAATATAGTCGCAGGATGTAAACTGTTCCAAGTAAAGCTGCCTTTTGCAATTGACTGATGGTGAAGTTATCAGTGTTAATGATATTCAAACAGTACTCCAGGTGTTTTGGAATTGCTCCAAAGGCACCTATTACTATTGGTACTATCTTTGCTTTCTTTGCCACAGAGTTCACTATACAGACTTTTTTTTTTGTCTTTCTTATCAACAGGTGTTAAGACTGAGGCATTGTATGGCACAAGCCTCTCTGTTTGAATTTTAAATCCCAGAATACCCTAGCTTCCCCTTTCGTGAAACAATTGTCCCTACCCTGTTTGACACCCACAGGAAACTGCTGGGAAGAGCAGCAAGTTTTGGAATCAAG